TTATTTTGTAAGATATTACCCAGGATGATTTATATTGATCTTTTAGTTCTTTGTTTTTAATTTTGTCCTACACAATTACATTAATATAACCTTGGAAGTTTACAAGAAGAGCTTGTATGCTTAGTGTTGTAACCTAAAAAGATATACGTATAGATTTGTAATTTAACTTGAAATCATATATATTTCGATTACTCGGAAATAAAGCCGAGATTTTATCATTAAATCGATACACACTCCTACTAGCACCGATACCTAAATTTTGATGAATTATGAATATTAGTAGATCCATTATAGCTGCTCACAGCTACGTGACTATTTCGAAAAGGTATTTTTCTGCTTCTGTCAAGAATTTCAACAAAAATGTACCGACTTATAAAATTGCCATAGTTGGAACTGGTCCAGCTGGATTCTACACTGCCCACCATTTACTTCATAAGGCAGCACCATTAGATCAATTCAAATTAAAGGTTGACTTTTTTGAGCGTCTACCTGCTCCATATGGATTAAGTAGATATGGTGTTGCCCCAGATCATCCTGAAGTCAAAAACTGTGAAGATTATCTTAATAACATAATGCAAGATTATCCTGCTAAAAAAGATAATAACACGGAAAATAAAAATCACGAAGTTAGATTTTTTGGTAATATCAACATTGGCGAGGACATTACACTTGAAGAACTCGAATCTAGTTATCATTCAATCATATTATCTTACGGTTGTACGTCTGATGATAACCAGTTGAATATTCCTGGCGCACAGCTTCCAGGAGTTATTGCCGCCCGTGAATTTGTACATTGGTATAATGGGCACCCTGATTATCATTCTGCAGATACCCAATTTATTCCACCTCAACTAGATAAAATTGAGGATGTTACAATTATTGGGAACGGAAATGTTGCCTTAGATGTAGCTAGAATATTGTTGGCTGAACCGCAAAAACATTGGTCTTCTACTGATATATCGAAGGAAGCTTTAGAAGCGTTATTTAAGAGCAGCGTTAAGAACGTTAACATTGTTGCAAGACGTGGGATCCTCGAATCTGCGTTTTCAAACAAAGAGATAAGAGAATTACTAGAGTTATCCAAGGATCAAAAGGTGAGGTTCTTACCAATCGAAGATTCTATTATGGAGAGTATTCAACCTATGGTTAATAATTTAGGAAGAATAGATAAAAGGCGTGTAGCATTGTTAGAGAAATATTCTAAACAGTCTCCTGAAGTGGATAGTTCAATGAAAACTTGGTCTTTGAAATACTTAAGAACTCCAGTTGAATTTACCGTCAATGAGAGTTCTCCGGATCTACTCTTGTCAACAAGATTTCAGAAAAATGAATTAATTCAAGACCTGTTAACCAATAAAATTCAAATTAAGCCTATTGCAGGAGAATTCGAAACTATAAAAAATGAATTAGTCATCTTGTCTATAGGTTATAAGGGATCACCCCTTGTTGGATTTGAAGAAGCTGAAATATCTTTTGATACTCATCACAATAGATTGTTGAATAAAGAAGGTCGCATTTTATCAACATCAGCATCTGGTGAAGATCTGCATAATTTAATCTATAAAAGAGGTTGGTATACTTCAGGATGGATTAAAAATGGCCCTAAAGGTGTTATTGCTACAACAATGATGGAATCATTTGAGACTGCTGATAATGTATTAGAAGATTTATCAAATAGTATTCATACGAATCCATTATCCGACTCTACTTCATTAGAAGAAAGATTAAAAGCTAAACCAGCTGTAAGTTGGGAGGATTGGTTGAAATTAGAGCAATTAGAGCTAAATAATGGCACTAAATTTGGGAAATCAAGAGATAAACTTTCTAATACTGCTGAAATGCTCAAAGTTGCATGTAAATAGAATATAGGCAGATATAATGTACATACTTTAAGAAAAACAATAAAATACTATATCTGACACTTTGTAATACCTATAAAATAATTATTATGTTCATATTTGCCAACATTATCCGACCACAATTTGTTGTAATTGAATTTTGCAATACTTACCTGGCCCTCAATATACTGGTCATCTAAACTTGACATACCTTTTGGCTCAATATCATCCGATTTATGTGGAAAGTATTTTTTATTAATGGTATATTCAAAACCACAATGTTGATAAATCGAGGTTGGTGGTAACTTGGGTATCATATCACCTTTATGAACAACCCTGATATATCCTGTTTCAAAATCCCTATTTTCACAGATATACTCTGCAACCTCAGAAGTGCTGAAAATTCTATCAATGTATTCCGCCATATCCTTGTTTCCCACTTTAGGACTTGCATATGAAACAACCAATGGATCATAGCCCATCAACCGTAACTCAACGCCGCTTAATACTGCTAAAGCCCCGCCTAAAGAATGACCAACTACGACCAATTTATAATCTAAATGTTCATCATGCAAAGCTAATACGCCTTGAATAATTGAACCGCAATGCTTCTTCAAAACCTTGTAGTACCCTCGATGTACTTTGCAGTTATCACAATCAATATTTTGCACGGTATCTGTCAGGGGAATGCCATTATTAAATATTGGAATATATTCAACTGGAAATATATCCATATTCCGTAACCAATCTCTTCTAGATGCCGTGCCTCTAAATACCAAGAGTATTCTCTTCGTTTCATGATCTATGGCATAGTAGCCAGAACATGCTTCACCCCAAGTATTGAATTTAAACCTACCTTTAATTGCTAAACTTTCATAAGGCTTTGTCTTACAAATTTCTAGCAAGCAATTGGAATCATCATCCCCAAAAATTCCGGGGCTTGATTCTTTCTCAAGGCAGTAAGCAATGGCTGCAATATGAGCATATTCAACTAACGTTTTGTAATCCTGCGGTATCTTTTCAGTTTGGTATTCAGCCTTATACCCATAGGCAAACGCAAGATAGCAAGCAAGTAGTACAGCTATATACCTCATTAAGTTTGAAAATTCGCAACCCTGTTTCGTAGGATACAATTTAGAGACTTAAATAATAATTGCGATTTTTGGTATGTTGACGGGTCATGAATATCAAATTTCCAAATAACCATAATAAATCAAAGAATCGTCTCAAGTACATTTCAGTATTTCTGGTACAATATTAATTGCATGTAATATTAACTTCATTACCACCAAGAATGGCATATAGCGCACATATATTGGCAATCTATAAATCCTGTTATCTCATCTTTGACAGGTCAGTCCTTTAGTAACAGAAAAAAAAATTGTTTCATTATTATGATCTATATATATATCAATGTCTGCTTTCGGCAAAACCATATATGTTTTCCATAAACCCATGTGTGTCTTGAAACATTCTTTTCTCGCTTATACACTTTTAGTTCGTGTTTTCTCATATTGAACTAAGATCACCCGGGTAATTCCATCCTTGAAACCGACCTTACGTGCATTGTAGTCCAGAACCCTACAGAACCAGTATATCATTGTATAATTATACATCCATATAAACTCAATTATATATCCAGAGACAAACTTGAAGGCTTTCTTCTGCATGAAAAAGACTGATTCTTATACGTTATTTTTTTAAGTCATGTTAAGCCCTTGTTTATCTTCTTATTTAGTATCATTTGAAGATCCCATTTTTAAACCAAATACTCTAATTGTTTCCTTTTTTAGATATAGAAGAAATTTCTAACCAGAAACCTTTAAAACAATAGCTGCATAGAGATGTTTTAATCTGAAATGTCGATCCTTGTTTGCAGCTTGTCTAGTTCCAGCATTTTTGTGTAACATGGCGCATGAGCATTTCCCATTTCTGCCTATAATAATAACTTGTAATGATTTCTCCATAAATCTTGGATCGTTCATTAATATATCAAAGATAGAACACTTAGTACCGTTACATTACCTTTATTTGAAGGTATATTATTAGGAAAAACAACATTCGTTTAAGTTAATTCTGGTTTTATTCCTTTTTTTTTATATAACACCTTTACGACACGTCTAGACGCTGTGTATAATAATTTTATACAAATTTACTAAGAGGTAAAATGGCAGATACTACTTTACAGAGCACTCAAGAAATTACAGATATAGACGAAAATAACTTACAGCCGTGCAAAAAATGTAACTTACCGATTTATGAAGGACATGCGTATGAGTTAGGTGATGATAGGTGGCATATAAATTGTTTCAAATGTTCAAAGTGTAATTCATCATTGGGATGTAATTCTAACTTTTTGGTGTTGGGAAACGGAAATTTGATTTGCTCGAACTGCTCATACAACTGTAAACAGTGTGGCAAGAAAATTGATGATTTAGCCATTCTCACTGGTGATCAAGCATATTGTTCGTCATGTTTCAAGTGTCGCTCATGTAAGTTGAAAATTGAAGACTTGAGATATGCTAGGACATCAAAAGGATTATTCTGTATGAGCTGTCATGAGAAATTGATTGCAAAGAAGAAAAAATATGATTTAAAAAGGAAACAGATTGCACAACTACAACAACAAAAGGAAAATGAAGAAAGAGAGGTCAGTGAATACCTGCAGACACCACCACAAGCATATGACGTACTTCGTCACCTTCAGGAGCGTTCAAACTCTTCTACGTCTGTTTTAAGTAACACAACGAGCGCGAGAGATAGTATTGACAATGCTAGTGATGTTTTCACCCAACCAAATAAGTCGAATTCGAGTATATCTACGAAAGATAAAGTTTTGCCTCCACCACCAAGTAATCCACCAAGTCAACCTAGTTTATTTGCGAGAGAGTCTTTTAATTCTACAAAAACAGATGGTTCCCTTACCTCAACAATCACTTCGAGATTTTCAACGCCAACAAGCGAGTACGCTAATGCAATTTCTAATCCTAATGGTATTGATAATGATTATTCTATTGAAGAAGTTAATGACAGTGATGATGAACTTAAAAAAAATAATACAAAAGGACAATTGCGTCCTCATAAGGATCAAAATGAGCAGATAAGTACGCCGCCAACATCATCAGCAAACGAAAGTCTGTCACCCGTTAAAAATATGACTAATGGCATTAGACTTGATATTATCGACTCCTCTGAGCCATCAACCCCAAGACATAATCAATTGGAACCAGCGGCAACGTTTACTCCACAATCTAAAGATAAACCTACGAACGGTGAATATAGAGCAAATTCCCCTATTTCAATGTCAAGGTCCAATTTCAAAGGGAAAAACCTTCTTATTTTATCTCCAAACCACAATGGTGAAGATTTCTTTAATCCATCTAAAGAAAGCCATTCGTCAATTGGCTCCCCTACTTACGATATGATGTCAGAATATGATGACAGTCGACCAACACTTGCGGCTCCAATTGATGAGACGAAGGTGAGATCTGGCTGTCCTTCACCTTTCGCTAAGGCAAATAGACAAGCAAGAGTTGTTGAAACGAATGATTATAGTCAAGACAATTCAGGAATATTTTTGGATAATGAGGATAATAGAGAAGATGGATATGATATAATTAGGACACCTAAGAAGTTGGGCTTATCGTCGTCAACGACGAATACCACTTCACCACCTCCAAAGTTACCTTTGCCTGTGATACCATCAAGCCCGGTCAAACAAGAAGTACATGAAACTCCAACAATTCTGGAGACTGCTAAATTTAATAATAAGCTAGAATCTACTCCGAAGGGGTTAGGATTAGCTGGTGTAGATTATGATGAATCCAAAGATGAAATTAGGTATTTTAAGCAGAATAATGAAAATCAAAGCGAAAAACCGATCCCTCTCGTACAATCACAATCCCAGACTCCTAATCAAAAATCACCGGCGACTCCAGCTGTAACAAACCTTGAAACACCAACAATTGTGGATAAAGAAACTCCGGAGAGTAAACAAGAATTATCTAGAAAATCATCGTTGATAAGGACACCAAAGCTTAGTTTGAAACATAAAAGATCTATTTCAGGTGGTGGTGGTGGTGGCATCTCTCAAAAGTTTGGGTTTTTTAAATCTAACAATAAAGATGATCCAATTTCAAACCCTGAGAAGCCACGTCATGGGTCTGTAGGATCTATCTCAAATGGAGGATCAGCATTCGTTACACCCCCTTTACCTCGAACTTCGCTGACAAACCATCAATTCCAGACAAATAATGGGTTCATTCGAGAACACAACAGATCCACGTCAGACACTCCGTTTACTTCTATTACGGATAACAGATATAATACCGATTTAGCGAAAAATGATTCAGACATGAGATCTTTGAAATCAGAAGTTTACCAATTAGATTCTCAAAGGCAGATGTTGTTTAATGAAAATAGAGCTCTAAAAAACGAATGAGAAATTAAGCGAACAACTAAAGATTTTGCAAAACAGCGTGAGCGTAGAGTCAGCTAATCATGAGATCCTAACAAGAGAAATTCTTACCTTAGAAAAACGTAAGAAAGATCTTTTAGAAGTAAACCAGACTTTGTCTGAGCAGAACCATAAGTTAGAATTGTCTGCTAATAACACATCGGCAATTAGTAAAATGCCTTCAAATGAAACGGGTTATACCAATTCGATAGGTAGTACAACTGTTGGTAATTTACTGACTTCTCTCCCTTCACAAAACTCATCATCTTCATTGGTAGCTGGCGCTCCATATAATGAAAGTAGTTACCCAGAAGATCATACTGAAACCCAAAAGGCCACTAGGCTAAAATTCTGGAGAAGACCAAAGGTAGCACCTAATTTGGTTTCTTCTAATAGTACTAATATTTTGAGTGGACTGCAAAACTCAACCCCAACTCAGCATCAGCTTCACAGTTATAATCAAAGTCAAAATACAACTCCAGTTCAAGGACTGGGAAATCAACAACCTCAAAGCTGGAATAATGGCTCTAACACAAAATTGAGTCAAACTTATTCATCCCAAGCGATCCGTCCTCCTAATAGCAAAAACTATGTGAATGCCAATAGTGTTAATAACAATAATAACAGCAACAACAACAACAACAATAATAATAATAATAATAACATTGGCAATAATAGCAATGTCTATAACAATGACTCTTTAACTGTGGATGGTAACAACAAAAAAGGAATAGGTTCATTCATGACAAAGTCTAGATCAACTAACATTCTTGAATCATTCTTATCTGGAAATAGTGCTCACAATTCGCCAAATGGTAATCATGAAGTTAATGACCCGATCCTGTTAGCTGAAATTGACTCTGCTCCTCTTTTTACTTCATCTATTCAGAAACGGGCAGAGTATGAAAACGAACAAGTACCACTCATTATAACGAAATGTATTGCAGAAGTGGAGAAAAGAGGATTGGATGTGGAAGGAATATATCGTATTTCTGGCGGCAATTCGGCAATCGTTGCAATTGAGAATGCCTTTGCCGATTTACCTCCTAATTCAACTAAGGACGAAAAGCAATTGCGCAAGTTGGAGGATGTAATTAGTGGTGATATAAACGCTGTAACCTCGGCATTGAAGCGCTATTTACGTAAGTTACCGGAGCCATTACTCCCATATGCCAATTATGACGAGTTTATTAAAGTAGCTCTGTCAATTCCTGGAAACAAACAAGATAAAAGAATTAATGAATTGAAGCTGAAGGTTATTAACAAATTACCTCCAACAAATAAGCATGTATTATTCTTGATCTGTAAGCATTTGGACTTGATTAACTCGTATGCTTCGGTGAACAGAATGAATTTCAAGAATTTATCAGTCGTTTTTGCGCCTACATTAGTAAGAGATGAGACCGGAGAAAAAGAAATGATTCATATGGGTTATAGAAACGATGTTACCGAATTGATGATTACAAATTACCAAAAATTGTTTTATGATTATTTACAGTAAATAGATAGCTTTCTAGATAAATCAAATAAACTTTTAAATGACTGTATTAATCTTTTTATTTGACAGGAACCTAACGTCTACTTTTTATTAAAGATGTAAAAATATTCATAATCGTTCTCTGGAAATGATGCTGTGCTATTTGTGCATTACAAATCAAGAATATGTACAATGAAATGCTAATAATGTGATATCCACAGAATCGTTCGTAAAATACAAGCAAACTAATGTATATCTTTGATATTTGGGTTCAGATACATTTCATACCTTCTATGGCCCACCCTAATCAAGTGTTCAATTACACTGAACAGCTTCTTGGGAAGATGTCTATGCTTCCCGAACTCTTCCCTAATGTATAATCTCCAATGCTCTCTATTCTGGTCCGGTTTGGTCTTAACATTCCGTATACATGCACGATATAGCTTCAATACCTCTCTTTGCAACCCCGATAAACGTGCCATGGTTGTGTCAATTATAAATATATATGTATGATCAACAAGAGTCTTCAAGTTGTGGATAAGTCTTTAACAATACCCTTAGTTAAGGACATCGCTCATAATCGATACAGAGACATTTATTTATGTCGTGAACATAATACTTTGTGACATTATCCCCATGTACTACATCTTACCATCACTATATGATGAAATGTGCAAACATTCCTAGTGAGTTTTAAACCTACAAATGGCATTCACCTCTATTATTTATTAAAAATTAAGGACTAACTACTGTACAAAAAACTCTTCGTCAATAAGTATTTTTAACGATTTATGCAAATAAATGTTTTGAATGATGATGTTTATACTTATTTAACATTGGTAAAGTCGATTTCTCCTTCTCTACTAACTTCACAATGTCCACTAGCACCACATGTACAACCATTCTTCGATCTTTTGCCGCAAGCACAAGCATTTCCTGCTTCGGGAGTAACGTTTTCAACTGAAGCTTTCTCACAGTTACACTTTAAAGCTGGTTGTTCACCACAAGAACAAGTGGAGTTCTTAGCACAGATACATTCTTTAGCGGAGCAAGACATTATTATTATGTTATTTATTAATGCGATATGTGTTTATGTTATAATTTAAAATAATGTTTGTAATACTACAGAGGCCAAAAGACGTATTTATAGTCAGAATGATATTTGCAGCTATCTTTCAGGTCACGTTTTAATGGTCTGATTTAAGAATTTCAACCAATCAATTTTCTCGAATTAGTCATACGAATAATATAATTAGTAATAGTTTGTTATCATTGGTCCTTTGTATAGTCTACTTGCAACATGCAACCAAAATCGTATGCGGTTTGAAACCTTGACTAATATTCTGTTCGCAGCCATTTGCAGGGCATACCTGACCAGGCAACAATCACTAAATGTGTTTGTTGCACAATACATGTAGCTAAAACCAAAACATAATAAGTCTCATACTTGCAGATGAGCTTATAAGTCTGCGGAAACATGGAATATCTATCATCTTAATAGCTACAAAAAGATTACAATTTTCTATAAATCTTGCAAATATCGGAGTTTTTAAATTCTTAGTTATATTTAAGGATGTCTTCCCTTATGGATAATGCTTGAAAAAAGAAGAAAAGACATACATAACTATACATTAGTAGCTATTGCTGTAGCTAAGAATAGTAACCTTTAAATACTGGTCTTGCCTCTAAGAATAATCGTGGATGCGAAAATTTTATATTAAAAACTGCTTGTCGCCTAATGTTTATTTGTTCTAACTTACAGTGTATAAAAATACAGAAATGCAGTCATTGACCCATATGTTGGGTGTAATTGGTGAAATTCCTAAAACGTTCGCCAAGCAAGGAACCTAGTTCGGACGTGGAATTCCCAGTCTGGTCAGATGTGTCATTAGCTGCGATTTCATTTTGATTAGTTTGGTCATTGAAGCTATCAAACAAATTTCTGGCCTGCGGGTTGGTTTGTTGCTCAGGATTATTAGAATCGCCTTTATTATTTATCTTAGTGTTGTATAATACTTCTTCAAATAAATAGGATATGGATCTGGAATTAGATTGGTTTGAGTTTTTCGACTGGTTAGCAGTATTATCCTTAGATTGGTTCAACAGAGTGTCTTGATTATTTACCATCGAGTGGTATATAGTATGTGCTGAGTTATTTTGCTTGCTGGACGTGTTGTCTAAGAAAACATTTTGATCGTCATCGTCACCTGGAAGTATACTTGGCCTTTTCTTGTCATCGTGCTTTATTGTGCTAGACAGACGTTTTTTCTTATTACTATTTGGTAACTCTATAGTTTCAAGGTCGGGCAACGGTACTTCGTCTTCGTCTTCGTCTTCCTCGTTTCTGGTGCTCGGGTTATTGTCATCATTTTTTGAACGATCATTTACGCCAGGATTGTTTTGCAATTCGGGAGGTGGTAAATCACTGTCATCGTCTCCATACCTTATTCGTACACCTAGAGGAGTTCTCATTATGTCTATACCTACGCCTTTTTCTCTACTACCAGAAGGAGTAAAATTTGGAGTTCGAGGAAACCGCTGTATCGTATTTTCCTGATCGGAGTTTCTGTTTTGCTTTCCAGGGGTGGATTTAGGTGGTAATAAAATAGGGGATAGCCTTCCTAAATCTTTTGATTCTAATGATTCTTTAGAGCCACCTTCTCCATTACTATTGCTTCCATTATTCATATAACCTCTTTCAGATAACAATATAGGAGGCTCTGGTAATGTAGGCGAAGAATCAATTAAATTCTGTATTAAGGACGATCTGCGCCTTACATCTTCAGACATGCCTCCTTCCCTTATTGGAGTACGATGCGTAGATTTTTGGGGTTTTCTAGGCGATATTGAAATTTTGTGATAGTTATCTAGCGATTGTCTTATAGTGTGTGTCACAACAGGAGGTGATGCAAGCTTAGGAGGAGATTTAGTATTCATGAATGACTGCTCTTCACTCGAAAAAGTCGGTGCTAGGGTATGTGTAGATTGTAACCGTTCGCTTGTCTTGCCAACATGCGATTTTTGGTTTTGAATAAATGATGATCTCTGTTTCAACTGCGGTGTAGATGCTTGCATATTATATTGGTGAGCTGGTGCATTTTGCTCTCCCGTTGACCATGTTGGCGTTTCTTCGACGTTGTTAAATCCTTTAAGCAATGGCTTTTTGAATTGTTGTACTTGTTCTGCGCTCTCGCGAGTTGGCTCGGGCACTGCATTTTCACCGTCTTCTCCTTCTTCATCATCCAGTATTAAAAAGTTATTCTTCGAATTAGCTATGGTGTTCAAGTCCGTATTCATATTCGCCGGGGCCTCGTAACTGGTCAACTCCACATTGGCTGCCTGCTCCAAAAAGTACTTCCAAAAATTGACATTATTCCACACGTTTGAAGAAGAAGCAGCATATTTCTTTAAAATTGGAAATATCTTATCATTAATTACTGCATTCGATTTCGACAAATTTTTATCTATTTCTTGTAATACTAATGTTATTTCTTGTTCTAGTCTTTCTAACTCCAAAGTAGCCGATTCTCCATCTATATTCTCATCTCCCTTCAAATTTAGATTCGGATTGATTGTCGACTTCCGACGTGATGAAGATGGGGCAATGGAATACCTCTTCATTATTTAATTGCACTGAAGGCCACTTCTAATATCTCCTCTAGCGCTAGTCTTGTATTTGTTTTTAAATGTCTGATTCATACGCGTAAAGTAGTTTACAGGTTAATATCATTGAATTACAGATTGTGCAAAAATACAGATTTGCATAGCACTACGGATTATGGTATTAATTAAATCGGAGTGATCATCTACACTCTTAATAAATATTACGAATAGGGAATATCCAAGTAATGGGAAATATTATGTCCGTCTCATTTGCTCCTGAATGCACGGAAGCTAAAAATAAATATGATGACTGCTTCAACAAGTGGTATACTGAAAAATTTTTACAAGGTAAATCCTTAGAAAATGAATGCACAGAATTGTGGGATTCTTACATCACATGTGTAAACACTGCTTTAGCTAAACAGAAAATAAAGCCAATGTTGGATAAGGCTAGAGAAGATCAGCCATTTTCGTCTGAGGAAATCAGACAAAGTGCTGGAACTCTGGATTCCAAACCGGAAAGCAAGCGCTGATGATCTTGCGTTTTCTGTGCTAGTTCTGGACAACTACTTGTATATATATTACTACGTCTTCAGGACATAATACATGCTATAGGGGTACTTTATCGTAGAATGCATCACTGATAGAATATATGTGATCCTGTATATAAATGAGATTATTTCCACACAAAAAAGGTGAAAAGAAATCGTAGAGATCAACGTAAGAAGTAGTTTCATAGTTAATCTGCCCATAATGTTAGTGGAAGAGGTTCCTAAGACCACAAATTCGAACAGCACAACAGTTTATTTTTCGTCATCAATTAACCTCAGTGCAAGGCCATCTTCGTACTCGTTCAAGCAACAAGATAACAATCAAGACCAAGATGATTCTGGGAATGCAAACAACATAAATAGACACAATAAGAGTAGACCCAAAGTTAACTATAATTTGAATCACTTAATGAATGCACAAACTCAGGCTAACGATATAGCTGCTTATTCTGGACCTTTAAAATCATCGCAACAAATTCAATTAGAAAGAATAATAACTAAAAGATTGAATGAATTAAACAAAGAATCCGCCACCAACACGTTCGAAATACCGAAGAACTTCACCTTTCAAAATGCAAATGCGAGTGGTGATAAAAGGAAGGCGAGACAGGGAAATACACCAACAACCAAGAAAATATTATCTTCTCGTAGAAACTTGAATCTGTATTTTGAAGAAGAGCGAAATTTGATATCCATAAATTCGATTTTGAGTCTTAATTACCAATTCATTGACCAAATAGATTCTACAAACGAAATTCAATCAAGCCAAAAGAAGAGAAAATTAAATGAAAGGGTTTTCAAACCCAGACTAAGATTGTGTTGTATATGCGGGTCAAATTCTAGTTATGCTAGATGTACAAATTGTGGGTTATTCGCCTGCAGTGTTAAATGTAATAAATTACACGAAGACCTGAGGTGTAATTAGTACAATATGTAGTAATATAGTAATGAATAATGATAAATATCACAATCCATCTTTACGAGTAGATTTACAATTAAAAGGATGTTTTAACAATCTAATAAATATGCTGTAAATTTGTCTATGATACATTTAGATAAGTACTATGAAATGCTTATAATTCTTCGGCTGTTAAATCTTTCTTGATTTTGAATGGTCTGCCTCTCCAATCGATTTCATGACCACACATCGCCATTATCCATATAGGCAACGCCAAAACTTCCCTCATTACCCAAATATAAAGCCATTTACGAAAAGGTCTAGTTAATGGAGGCAATTTGGATCTTTGCAACCAATTCGAATCATAGTTGGCTTCCGATATATTCTTAATAAAAGTATAATATTGGGTGTAATCAGTAAGTACCCAGATCGAAAGATGAAAGATGAAAAATTTCCAATTAAACCACGTATGCCATAACAACGTAGAGATTGCATACGTACCAAACAAGCCGCAAACAATCGACTCTGTTGAAGGTTCAATTAGCGTGGCCATCAATACCATGTATTTTCTAACACGCAACCATCTGACTCTTCTAGTAATATAATCATTGACCGTATTATCGGTCCCACTCAAGGGTTGGATAACAAAATCACCTGTTAATCCGGTTCTACTAAATAAATTTTCCCAAAGACATATTGCAATCATATTATCTTCTCCAATATAACGAGAGAATAACTTGAGAGAGTTTCCAGGTCCCAAAGAAGTGTAGTATTTGGCATCCGATACCACAGAGTTAGAAGAAAAAAATGCCGAATTAAGTGATGGAATTTTAGCCACGGCAAGATCTAAATCTGATTTTCTGTATATGTTTGACTTCCCATTAACGCATGGAGCCACTGCAAGATTATTCAACGACACATAGAATTTCAGGTGTGATGTCAACATAAACATTTCATCCAATTTAGCTCCTAGTTTTTTCAAAAATCTTTTCTTATATTGACCTGTCGAATTAACAGGACTCAAAGTATATTCTAAGTCACTGTCAGTATCGGTACTAGGATTAATACTTAATGCTAAAGGCACATGGTGTACCAATTTGATCTTCCTGTCGCTAGTGTTAGGCCTACCGTTATTAGTATCCTCATTAAGTGCCGTTATAGAATTCCGTAAAATATTAGGAGAAGCCCATACGTTTGAGTCCATAATCCATAAAATATCATGGTCTGCATTCAAAAACCCTTTAGACAAGTTGTTGACCTTTGGGTTTGGTCCAAAATGCTCAATCGACCTTCTTGTATCAAAATTATAACCCTGTGATACCAAAATTGTCGCATTCACGTCCGGATACTTGTCTATCAATTTCTGAATGATCGGTATGGATTCATCACTTGGATTATCGACGCAGAACAATATTTGCAACTTTTCTCGAGGATAATTCTGTTGAAATGACGATTCCAAGCACGAACTTAACTCAGGATCTATTCCCTTGATCGGGCGTATTATGCTAACCGCTTCGAGCGTGTCATCGCTCACCTTGGTTTCTGAAGTTCTTGTAAATTTACTTCGAATTTCAAAATATCCTCGATACGCTACCACCAATATAATAATGTACCAAACCAAAAAAACCACCCCTGTTATCAATCGGCTAGTAGATAATGCTTCAATATCTACTGACATTGAGATCGTAAAACACTTAATTACTGACTTCCAATGACTGTTCTTTTTTACCTTGATCTGAAAAATTCACTTTTCGCGAACGTTTGGACCTGCTTAGTTAACATGCATTGGTTTTCCATCTGTTCCGAAAACCTATGCCTCCGACAAAATATTGATGCATCTGTGCGGTGCGCAAAAATGCGCCACTAGTAGCGACAAAAGGACGACATAGGGAGAGTTCTCAGCGGAAGGACCTCCCAGCTGTAATCAAGGATCGCATTTTGCTCACCGGACACGCCCCGCCAGATATGTTCCCCGGCTATATAGAGCAGTGGTGAACCCCATACATTCGCGACATTGAAACGATATAAAACCGACATTTTAGTGACCTCGGGAAAGCGCTTAGCGCATAGTGTGCAAGTTCCTCGGTTAAGGAGTTTAGCACCCCCGCGAGATATTGGTGATGTGGATAGTATATAAGCATCAATAACCCCAGGATTAAGATTAATTGTTCAAAGCACAATTTTTCAACATAATTATTATTCGTTAAAATTTATTGATGGATAATGAATATTGATTCGAAAACCATGCTTAAGACTATCAGAATGAATAAAATGCCAGTATCGATGAAACAATTTTCCACATCTTCATTAAAGGGGGACTTGTTTAAGTACCAAAAAGACTTACCTAGATTACCAGTCCCAGGATTGCAGGAAACAGCAAATAAGTATGTGAGATCTGTGGAACCATTTTTAACCAAGGAGCAGTTGAGCAGTACCCAAGCCAAGGTAAGCGATTTCACTAAGCCCGGGGGAAGTGGTGAAGTATTACAACAGCGTTTAGTTGAATTTTCAGAAGGCAAAGATAACTGGCTTGCTGAATGGTGGGATGATTATGCATACATGTCTTACAGGGACCCAGTTGTGCCGTACGTGTCGTACTTTTTCTCGCACAAAGACATCAATAATGCTATTGGAAAGGACCAATTGTTGAAAGCATCTTTGATTGCATACTACACTCTTGAGTTCATGGAACAGGTGCAAAACGAAACTTTGGAGCCTGAAATCATCAAGGGTAATCCATTCTGTATGAATGCCTTCAAATACATGTTTAACAACTCGAGGGTTCCAGCTGAGAATTCTGATATCACCAAGATATACAACGGATTAGAACACAGATATTTTACTATTATTATCAAGAATCACTTTTATAAGGTTTACCACCACACTACAAGTGGCCAAAAGTTAAGCAAGGCTGACATTTACAAGCAATTGCAGTATATTTTCCAAGATGCTACCAACAAGCCAAGAGGTTTACCTATTGGTGCTTTGACTTCGCTTAACAGAGATGAATGGTTAAATTCTTACAACAATTTGACCAAGTCTCCAATCAACAATGCGTCTTTAGAGTCTATCTTCGCTTCTTCATTTGTTATTTGCTTGGATGATAATAACCCAATTACTATTGAAGAAAAATCTAGAAACTGCTGGCACGGTGATGGTCAAAATAGATTTTTTGACAAACCATTAGAATTCTTTGTTAGTAGCAACGGTAACTCCGGATTTTTAGGTGAACACTCTAAAATGGATGCCACCCCAACCGTACAATTAAATAATTTTGTTTACTCCCAATTGACCAAAGAAAACCCAGCTGCTTTATTATCAGAAATTGCTACCGATACCAAACAATTATCTGATTTACAAGTTGAAGCTACTCCAGAAGTTTTGCAATTTGATATCAGTCCAGTCGTTAGAAATGAAATTAGTCAGGCTATTGTCAAATTCAATGAAACTATTTCTTCTCTTGATCAAGAAACATTCCAATACTTTGGTTACGGTAAGAATTTAATTAAGCAATTTAAGGTTTCCCCAGATGCTTACGTTCAGATGTTAATGCAATTAGCTTACTTCAAGATGACTGGCAAGCTCAGACCAACTTACGAATCCGCTGCTACCAGAAAATACTTAAAAGGAAGAACAGAAACTGGTAGACCAGTTTCTGTTGAATCGGCTGCTTTTGTTAAAACATGGACTGATAACAATGCTACTGTTGAAGACAAAGTTGCCACCTTCCAAGCTGCTTGTAAGCAACACATCAAGTTCTTAGGTGATGCTTCTGATGGTAAAGGTGTTGATCGTCACTTATTTGGGTTAAAGCAAATGTTGAAGCCTAATGAGCCTGTTCCAGAAATCTTCTCTGACGAGATCTTCAGTTATTCTTCTTCGTGGTACCTTTCTACTTCTCAAATTCCTTCTGAATATTTCCAAAGTTGGGGTTTCTCTCAAGTCATGGATGATGGTTTTGGATTAGCGTACTTAATTAACAAAGATTGGATAAATGTTCACATTTCATGCAGAAAGGGTAACGGCTTGAGATCTGATGTCATGAAGTGGTACTTAGTTGAATCTGCTAACGAAATGAAGCAAATCTTAAGTAGTACTTTAGCTCCAAAAGCAAAATTGTGATGGTGTCTCACTTTTTATTTATTATGATTTTATTTCCTCAAGGCTTTGTCTATATATCTTTATTAAAATTTTACTTTTTATTCATAAAATCTATTAATGTAGAACGTGCTTATACATATATTTTTAAACTGTAGAAGAATACAACAACTTGGTTTGAGATTATCAATTCATAATCCTACGTTGATTCAGAATTTGACCAAGTCCTCATTTACCACCCCATTATCATTTTCTATATTAGCGACGTTTGAAAGCGACGAAGTAATTACCATCCCACCCTATTGCAGAAACTTCTTTTGCTACAAGTTATAATGTGTAATATTAAATGAGGGCTCAATTATCTTTAACAGCATTCTTAGTTCCTGGGTGTGGGGTTGGCGAGGCTACATGTAGTACCAATCATATATCCCTCAAATTGAACTTAAAATAGAACCGTAATCGAACCCTTTAATCCAAATAAAATTCCACTTTACCACAGAACTTATTAGAGTCAAGAAAAATCTTTAAAGTTTGCGAATGACTTCTCATACAAGCCCTCGATTCATAAGCATTTTGAAGTAATTCATTAAGTATATGTTATCTCACAGATGATTATGAATCGGTTAACAACTTTTCTCAATCTAAAACTGAACCCTGAATGTTCAAGTAGGGAACTAGACCGAGTGAAACTTAAATTTAATTACCTAGAGGTTATCAGGGTTTTCTGAGTACATAAATTTTGATCATCTCTCCCCGCAGTGATTAATGGATGCAAAATTTTAATAAACCAGCTGTCGATTGTTTTAAATCTCACGACAGTGTTGTGATTAGTATCTGTTTTGTAAATAAATTTTGAAACTCCTAAATATTCTTTGACTGTAGAAATAGGTTTCTTCAAATTTAAAACTGCAAAAAAATAGAGAATAATTATAATTGTCATGATATTTAATGTCTATGAAATCTTTTCTTGTGGATTCGTAAAAAATACTCTTCAAGCGTTACATTCCGTTCTTTCCCTCTTGTGTGTAAATTTGACTAATATTGCCACTAATTATCCGATGAGCCGATAAAAAAAGAACCAAGATTTCCGCAATAAACCTTTTTATTTTTTTTGCGTTATGATTATTTTAACCTAGAGTAAATACCTCGCTTGTTATATTCTAGCTCGTGTAGTAATAAATACCTAAGTGCCACTTTTCTCAGTTAAACAATGTGTTAATGGGTCCCCGCCAGTTTTAACTACTTCGCAAATGTGACTTTACTACAGCTAGATTGATATCACGAAAGTATGATAGTGGGTTTTAACTGGATTGCAACAATACTTCCTGCAAACTAATTACCCTGGGTTAATTCCCCGCCTACAACCATTCGCAATCTTTTTCTAGAAAATCGAAAGCACGCTAAAAGACTATCACACCTGGTTGAAAGCAATTCATCTTTAGAAGGCATTTTACTATTGTACGCCCTTTCAAAATTATATCAAAACCACGGTTAAACCTGCTATACAAGAATGCGCGAAACCCGATGTTCATATGTAGTATGTTCTGTTATGATAGCCTCTATAAGATCATAATATCGATCTTGTAATGCGATAGTTACCGAGGGTCCTGAAACGGACTGTAGGATACTTCCATTCACGTACCTTTTGTATTAGGTTCCCATTTTGCAACCTTTTTACCCAATTGGGATACGCGCAAGTCATTTGTCCGCTGCTAAGTATACCCTTTCCAGACAAGCCAACTCACTCAAATCGCCCCGAGCGATTTGCTCGCTTAATTAGCATGTTGTTAACACATTTAATGCGTAATGAAGGAATAGCAAATGTGGATTTAGAACTTTATTGCTTGGGTGGTATTCAATTGCAAGGGGTAATAATTTATTTGACTGATAAGATGGTCATATTGGTCCATATTTGTCATTAACGGATAACTTTTACATTATGTATTATAGTTCCTATTTACAATACTGTAATATCTTACTTAGCTTGTTCTATTTTTAATTTAAACACCTCTACTTTTCTCATGTAGGCCCATTGTTATCACCAAATTTAATTGTGGTGTAACGATGAAATTTAGTTTGTCGCAGTAAAATTTGTTTAAATCTGATCTGATTTAATTTTACACATTCCGGTAAAAAATTTGACAAGAATAGATAATTGATTACCAGCATAAGTCCTTCGATACCTTATATTTTGTAAGGCAAATTTCCCTTACAGTTTTTGTTTTTACTTGTCTGTTTATTAATTCCAGGTGTTTTATTTATTTCAAGTACTTCGTTTAATAACTAACAGTTGTAATATCTTTAAGAATTCTTCATTTCAATTGCATCCGGCATTCCTCCTTATGGCATACTATAATTAATGTTTTGGGAAATAAATAATGAGTGATAGATCTTCAAAACCACATAGATCACATAAGCGACAGAAGTCATCTTTAACAAACATAGGCTATTATTTCCCTGATCAAACATCAACACAACAGCCATCACATCCACAATTTCAACAATTTGTACAACAGAGACAACAACAGCAACAGCAACAGCAACAACAACAGCATCATCATCAGCAGACTCACCAACCACATCAACGACATAATAGACAATTGTCTCAATCTTCTCAATTATCGCCTCATCAATATCAACTGACATCGATACCATCACAATCGTCACAGCCATCACAACAGTCACAACCATCCTTCTATGATTATGACCCCTACAATACATTGAATTATAGTCTTAATTCAACCACTGCGCCAAGCTCCAGTACGGGTACTGGGCATAATATCATTCAAGGCGTACCAGTAAAGCCAATTCCGTCTCCAACCAGAGGTCAGTTCGGTCCTGCTCCATTTTTATCATACCAATCGCCTACTCAGTATAGTATACCTGGGTCAGTGGATCAGAATTTTGGGACAATCCCTCTGATTCCATTGCCGTCTGAGCAATATAATTCAGACACTCCCAATGTGTACGAACAGTTTACATACCCAAAACCCGTAACGGAATTCAACGATCTACCCCAATCTGATATCAATACGTCCGTGCAAGCAAAGCGTCCTGCGAAACACAATAAAAACTTGTCGGTATCTACTAGGTTTAATTTATTTAATTTAAATGAGAACGAAGACCAAAGTGAGCGAGAAACGGCAACTAAACCTACGTCTATAAATCCACTTTTCAACGATTTCTTGCAGGACTTGGCTATTGTGGACGGATCTAATATTAACAACTATTTATTAAAGGTACTAGAGAAACTAGGATCGCCATTACCGATAGATGATTTTTATAACTTTTTATATAATAACGAGAAGCAAGCATCTGCTACTCCAGCTATCCCAACACATAAAATTGATAAGACCATGATCAATTTTTCAGTTCAATCTTCAGCTTTCAGTCTTTTGGATCAATTGCTCAACATTTTCAAGGTCCCCAACCTGCTTATTGAATACTTCCCAAATATCGCTAATAGAGAGAATAAATTATTTGGAATAAATTATCATGAATTGCTAAGAACTTTTTTGGCCATTAAGATTCTATTTGATATTTTGATTCAATTACCATCCAATAATGATCCCCAAAATTATACAATTCCAAGGTTATCTATTTACAAAACATATTATATAATATGTCAGAAATTGATAAGACAATACCCATCTCCCACAAACACTTCAAGCGAACAACAAAAACTAATTTTGGGCCAGTCTAAATTAGGAAAATTATTAAAATTAGTTTATCCTGATTTGCTAATTAAGAGATTAGGTAGTAGGGGTGATTCGAAATACAATTATTTAGGTGTAATCTGGAATCAGAATATCATTGATGATGAGATTAAGAAGCTTTGCGATGACAACGAATTAGTACATTTACATCGGATATTTGACACAAAGGATAAACCTTTTTCCTTTCAGAGAAGAAGAAATCATTCGACGACTAGTTATAATCCAATTCCAGGTCACAAAATTAAATTGAAAACCAGATCAAAATCTGAGCCTCAAATACAACTAAAAGGTCCTCATACAGAATCGTACAGTAATGAAAATATTAGAACTCCTAGCTTTTCGTTCATTAAACCACATTTGAAATTTCCTGAATCTGATAATTTTACTATTTTGGAAGAAAATAATGATAATCCTAACTGGTTTACAATTATAAAACAGAACACATACGAATGGTTCAAAAATTGTAACTCAACATTTCCAATGCGTGAAGCTATTGGAATGGTTTTCTTTAATAATGATAATTTGGTCGAGAAGAATTTCTTATGTGATGGTTTGATAGAAAAGGTAGTGAAACCCTTAAATTCAGATCTTGGATACGCTGAAAATTTCGATCTACATTTATATTTAATTATTATTGTGGAATTGCTACCATATTTATTGTTTCTTAAAACTTCTTCTCGGGTTAATTATTTGAAAAATCTAAGATTAAATTTATTATACTTGATTGATAATTTTAATGATGAACTAAATAATATAGGTGCTAATAATAACTTCAAGATTGACAATTCAAGAAAGTTTTTAATTTTAATGAAAAAGCTTATAAATATTAATGATCTATTGATAACATTTATTAAGCTTATTAATAAAGATGATGCTTCTAATTCGTCAGTGATGGTTCTTGATATTGAAAATTATTTGAATCTCACTGATGAAGATCAATCAGATAATGGAATAGATGAAGATAGTGAATCGAAATTGAGTTTCAAACATGATATTCTATCAAAAGATCTAATTTACGCCTTGAATGCTTACAATTTCGATCCTACTTTGGACCATCATTCCAGGTCTATTTTATCTCCTGATTTTATAAAGGATGAGGTCGATTTAATTGGAAACTTTTTCGGAACAGATTTACTAAATTTTTTGAATAATGAAGATTTAGGGGAGAAATATGAACAGATTACATCCAGAGAATCTAACGATGAAACAGATTCCATACTTTCAAAGAAGGAAGGCACAAAACTTGTATCCTTGCTTGCTTTAATTCATGATAAATTACTCACCAAGCATTTCAAAACGAAGTATCCAATTCTAGTCTATACGAATATTATGAGTCTTATACTTAATGACTCGTTGAAGTATATTTTTATTAAATATCAGAAGCAACAGAATAATCAACGTAAAGATGAAAACCAAAATAGCTTTGGTAATTGGTGGGTGTTCAATTCGTTTATTCAGGAATATTCATGCTTAATGGGAGAGGTTGTTGGCTTATATGATTCAATTTAGTTTCGCCGTTTAGCGTTGCATGACACTCTCTAATGTGCTTTTTTTTTTAATTCCAACCCTTTAACTACGTGCATCCAATTGCTGTTTCTATATATATATATATATACCTTACAACTAGAAAATCTGACTATTTTCTAGAAGTTTTGAGATTCTACTTTATAATATTGCATCTTATGTTTTCAATTGTAAAGAAGTTTGCACGTTTATGATGATAACTTGTTTATACTGGTGATAATAAATTAGTTACCCGGTGCGAATATGTTCCATAAAAAAAATTCGTAACGCATCAACTGAATTACAATATGGGGGAGATAGCCCAAATTAGTATTCAAACAACAAGAACATGACAGCATCTCAGAATACCATAAAGTTATTGCATGGTAACTCTCATCCTGAACTTGCAAAGTTAATTTCCAAAAAGTTAAGTATAGGTTTGGCTAAGGTTGGTGCTTTTCAGTATACTAATAAAGAGACAGCCGTTGCAGTAGGGGAGTCTGTAAGAGATGAAGACGTCTATATTATTCAAACAGGTTGCGGTGAAGAAGAAATAAATGATTTTTTGATGGAGCTATTAATCATTATCAATGCTTGTAAGACTGCTAGTGCAAGAAGAATCACTGCTGTCATCCCAAATTTTCCTTACGCAAGGCAAGATAAAAAAGATAAATCAAGAGCTCCCATTACTGCAAAATTGATAGCAAATCTCTTGCAAACGGCAGGGTGTAATCATGTTATAACATTAGATTTACATGCATCACAAATTCAAGGTTTTTTTAGAGTGCCTGTTGATAACTTGTACGCTGAACCTTCTGTATTAAGACACATTAAAGACAATTATGCAAATGAAGACTTAATTATTGTTTCTCCTGATGCTGGTGGAGCTAAGAGAGTTGCGTCTATTGCAGATAAATTAGATGTTAATTTTGCTTTGATTCATAAGGAAAGGCAAAAAGCAAATGAAGTTTCAAAAATGGTTCTAGTAGGTGATGTCACTAATAAGTCTTGCTTGTTAATCGACGACATGGCTGATACATGTGGCACATTGGTTAAAGCGGCTGATGTTTTATTAACTAATGGTGCTAAGAAGGTTGTTGCGATAATCACACACGGCATATTTTCTTCAAATGCAATTGAAAAGCTCAATAATTCGAACCTTGACAAAATCATTTGTACTAACTCTATGCCATTAGAAAGTAAGTTATCCCAATGTTCTAAATTAGAGATAATAGATATAAGTGCTACGCTAGCTGAAGCTATTAGAAGATTGCATAACGGTGAAAGTGTTTCTTATTTATTTAACAATGCTCCTGCTTGATATGGTATATATTGAATTGTACATTAGTCTTTGACATATACTAGCTATTTAATAAATTTAATTTAAAAACTCTCTTCCTTTGCATCAACGACATACCAAACAACACCGGTGCTGAGGTGGAAAGGATTTGCATCCTTGTCATTGAAATTTGCGTCTGTCACAGTATACTCTTCAATATCTGTAACACGCCCAACCATCCATTCTTTATCTTTTATAGAGTGTGTAATGTCAGTCTTCTTTCCTTCATTAGTTTGAACCCGCAAAAAGTAATGAGGAGCTCCAATATTGAAAGCTGCCCATGGTTGGAAACTTTCATCTATTTCTTCCGTTCTATCGATCCTAGTTGGCAAGAACAATACTAAATCATCCACTTCAAAATTATTCATTGAAATTCTGCAATTAAGTTTACTAATTAGCTGATTTATTTCGTGTGCCTTACTTTTGTTTTCCTTGGTAAGCTTTTTTGCAAACCCTTCAACATCTCTAAATCTCTTCGTTATAGCACCTAAGAAGAACCTATCACTGACAACTGAATCATCATGGTTTTGATTTACGCAAATATTCTCTTTAAATCCAATTGCATTAATAAAGCATTCAAATTTTGATGTCGATCCATTGCTGGATTTGAAAATATCCCTGAACAATTTCACTAATTCTAGAGATTGACGGTTAAACCTAGGTTCATCGATGGATAAATTCATCAAGTCCTCGGGAAGATCATTAAGTACACTTGATGAAAGGGATCCAGCGGTATTGGCTGTCTGTGATTTTTCATCTCCACCTTCACTAAATCCTATATCATCAATCCATCTTATAAGTTTTTGTATATCATCTACAACTTTAGAAGTGGGCATATTTCCGATTGATGGCACAATCGGAGTTTCATCCAATACATTACCATTGGCCGATGTAGGCACAATTTTGTCGTTTCTCTTTGATTTTAAACCTTTCACTCTAGTAATTTTAAACTCGTCAATATTTCTGTCATTATTATGTTCTTTTATTAATAGAAGACCCATTGATTCTAATATAAAGCAAAACTCAACAAAGGTCTCAAACTCTTGCTCTACCAACCATTTGATGTTTAAGAGGAGATGAATTATTATGTTATTCAAATAATTAACCATGGTCTCTAGATTATTGTCCTTTGATTGTGTCAAATCCATGAGATTCTCGTAGTCCTCCGTTACTTCCTCTACCTTCCTATTCAATTTCTTAATTTCCTCTTCAAGTGAAATGCGATGGTTAATCGTATCTGTCTCTTTGGAGGCCATATTGGAAAGTAAATCATTTTTCATATCATTGGCATCATTTATATCATTCTGTAAGGTAATGATTTTTTCACTCAATTTCGTAACTTCGTCTGCATATCCTTTGTTATCATCGTTAAGTTTTGCAATATTTTTCTTCAAATCTAAGATTTCAGCGTCTTTTGAATTGAGTTTATCTTTTAGATCAACAACATCTTTATTATTTTCGGGTTGGAAAGCTTGTAATTCTCCCCTTAATTTGGTTATTGTTTTCTGGCTTTTCTCATCTTGTCTAAGCAATTCCTCCTTATAATGTTTATCTTGCTCTTTATTTTTTGTCTTTAGATTAGAAATCTCTTTACGTAATGCTTCAATTAGTTCTTCACTCTCTTTATTAGTAGTTAATAGTTTAAGATTTTCATTTGTTAACTCATTATTTTCTTTCTTCAAACGGATATTATCAAGATGCTTATCAATTGTAGTAGAAACATCCAAATGATTGGATTGTTGACTATCTGTTGTGGCTGCATTGCTCATTTTAGTAGGAAGAGTTTTTCTTCTTTGTAGCAAATTTGTCGGGTCAATTTTAGGATTGCTTGTTGAAGACAGTTTTTGATTCAGATCAAGTATTAAACTGAGTCTTCCATCAGCCTCAGAAGTTGACGTAGCATTCGCACCATTTGATCGGGTTACTGGCCAATTCGAAAGATCCTTGTATTGTTGTTGATGAAGCAAATTTTCTAATTTCTTAATCCTTATTTTCAATCCCTTTATTAAGTTTATATCATAATCAACTTCACCAAGTTCACTCATGTTCGCTTTATTTTCCGCATTTTTATCGCTGCTTTCATTCTTAAGGTTAACTAGCGACTTCTCATCATTTTTAATTTCATTTGCAACAGGTGAAGTTAATGACGACAATGACGATACCATTTTTGTCACTCTCTTCATGTTGTTCGTGCATTTAATCAAATCTTGGAAATTCTTTTTCATTAATTCCACAAATTTCTTACTGCTTGGTGAAGAAGTTGTTCCAGCATTACTGTAATCTTCCAAAGTGTTAATGTACGTAGAAATATCCTCCCTTTCAATCTGAATATTATTAATAATTCCAAATGTCAAATTATTTCCAGCATTTCCATTAACTAAGGTCACATCAATACTTGGCAATACTGTTCTCAATGCATCCTTCTCATCATTAGTATTTAATATTGATAAGAAATTACCAAATTTTTTGAGCCACAACTTCCTAAATATTTTTTCATGGTCAATTATAATAGATAATTGTTCAGAGACATTATTTACAATTCCTTTGGAATAAAACTCGTGCCATTCAAACTGGCGCCGCTTTTCGATGAGCATAAAGCCAAATAATAATGGTAAATCAATAGTCAAAGACAAATAATCCTCGGCAGATTTGATCTTATTAATGACATGAATTGAAACTTCGTTTTCTTTTGAAACATGATTGTTATCATCTGAATTCGTTAATATTCTTAAATCATTCTTAATGTTCACCATACGCATTTGTAAGTTTGCAATTTTTCCAAAAATAGACAAATTTTCATTCACTATTTTATTCTTAAAAAAGTATAAGTTTTGAAGAATCTTGAATAATTGAGATGCTTTATCAAATATTTTTGGCGAGATCTCATCCTTGTGAATACGATAAACCCAGTCTAGAGATATCGATGTATTTGTGGATAATTTGTCTATATCATGAGATATCAATTGACACAATTTTGACAAATCCTTGATTATTTCTTCTGAGCCTGTATCATAATCTTTGAAGTTCTCAATAGACTCATTTCTTAATAACTCTATAAGCTTATCAATACTCACTTTATCATCATTCACAGAATTAATGGAAGCAGACATCTCATTAAACTTGTTAATAACAAGTGGTAAATTCTTTGATACAAACAGCGATGACTTCTCTAGCTCACTTATACTCAAATTTTCTGATATCTTAATGCTATCTGTTCCATTCTTGAATTGAAAACTGGGGAACTTTCGCAAATTACTGTAGTAACCATTCCAACTTCTATGCAACGTTTTCAAATTCAATAGCTTAATATAGCTCAAATAATTATTAAAGCTCTTCTCAATGCCATTGATAAAGTTTGAACCAAACTGAAATATAATATTGAGGCATTTAAATATCGTATTGATCTGTTTGACGTATACTTTCATCTGATCGACCATCCCTAAGCAATCCTGAAATAAAGCCTTCGACCAGCCATCATTGACCTTCAAACTACTAGTCATTTGCTTTATGTTCGTTTTTTCTAAGTGCACTAAGGATGATGGCGTTGGCCTAATCATGTCTTTATATCCTCCTTCATTTTGATTAACATATGCATTTACGATGGATTCCTCTCTTGAACCCGAAAATAGTCTCTTATCAAATACGTATATATCATCGAGCTCATTGATGATACTGAACTTTACTTTCATTCCAAAAGAAGTTAGCAAGAAGATGTTATCAACATCTGATATGATATAATCTGTGAACGATTCATATATGAATGACTTGAGTCCATTTAAACTGTGGAATCGGATTGGCTTTGGAATCTTCACCGATTCCCCATTGTGTGCATTATATAGCGTCAAATACGATATTGGCGTTACCATAGGTATATCAGTCAGCATCTTGTGTTAAGATTCCAATATACTGATAAGCATCAATTCTCAGGAAATAAGAAACCCAATTTCAGAATTTTGAATTATGCGCTTCAAAATGCTTTGATCCTTCCACTGGTCAATGCTGAGAAGTATTTTCTTTCAAAGAACTTTATTGAAATGTTTAACAAACCTTTGCTTATGGTTTTGCCGCTCCACTATATAGAGAATGGCAACTACAAGTCGTAAAAGAAGTACTGCAGATAGATACTCACTACTCACCTTTTCAATCACTACTTTTTCACCCTTACAGCCATAGTTATTTTTGATTAACCAAAACCACAACAAATATCGCTAGAAGTTGGGATTGGAAGGTCTTCGATCTGTGTGGGGTGCTTGAGAAGTATTTCTTATATGTATACTATTTCACTTGTTAAATAATGTAAGAACGCCATACATTTTGTTTGGTACTGTATATAGATCCATCTTAATTATCTGAACTTCGAATTTTTGAATGTTAAGATGGGAGATATAGTTAATTTAAGAAATAGCGTCGACATAAAGCATGTTAGATAGTCATTCATTGGACGTGATATCGCGGTTTAAACAGTCTGTGTTATCGAAAGCTTTGCCAGGGCCAGCCCCTGAAATTGGAGCTACCAGTAGAGGAAATAAAATTACGCCAGCCAGGACAAGCGATAATTCATTAATACCCAAGATTGTTGAATATGAAGGATCAACACATTTGGTATTGACAAATGATGCTATAATGAAGAGCACTTACAGGAATAAGCGCAGGTGGCATGAGATGTATGGAGAGAGAGACGAAGAAAGTGATAGTGAAGAATATGAGGAAGAAGACGATGAAGACAGCGACGATGAACACCCTTTTAAAAAGCTCAAGTTAACTGAAATTTTATCACCTTTAACGCATCCATCAGAGATTATATCTCACCCTGCTATCCTGAAGACATATAAGCTGACTATTTTCAATAAGATGTCTTATGAATTGATCGAATCAATTGAATTGGAACAAAACAACTTGAATTGGTTGAACAAATTGCTTCTGGTCTTGAATGGCGAGGACTGGTTTTTTTTGCTAGAGGAGAACCTAGGATTACTAAAGTATGACCACGGATTAAATGATGACTCTAATAATAATACAGCCGAAAACGACGATACTCATGAAGCTAAACAGGAAGAGCGCAAATCTGGAAATAGATTGCTGAAACATCTGACCGAAACTAATGGTCACCAAGATAATAAGGAGACTGATGAGAAACAAGAGAGTGTTGAAGATCCTCCAAAACGAATCACAAGAACTTCCACATCACAAAATGAAAAAGAATCAACTGAAGTCAATGACCCATTTTTTGCTCTTCCAAAAACCCTAGCCAAATACGAAGCACATCAAAATCAAGTTGTGGACGAAAATAGTGATGAATTACTTATCATCCAAGAAGATTTAATCAATTATTTGCAAGTTAGCGTTCAAAGACAACAAGAATACATCAAGAACTTGATACAAATAAGAAATGGATTAGTTAGAGCTGAAAGATTAAAACAAGATTTACATAAATGGGGTAAAGAGATGTACGATAAAAAAAGTAGTTGATACACTATATACACAATAACTCAAATATATCCTTGTACGTTTAGAACTATAATGTAACTCTTCTAGTCACCATAGAATCAATTATATACGGCTCGATATCTGCATGTAGATTTTCTCCCACTTGAAACAATACCTTAGTCGTATATCTATTAGCTCTAACATCTTGAAGATAGTCGTTATATCGATTATGTAATAATCGCGTTGGGCCTAAATTGCCAACGCGTATGGAACTAAATATTTAATTGCAATACTTTTCACTTTTTTCTTCTTGCTTTTTGTAACTATACGTTAATAAAGATAGGTAAACGACATGCTTGAAGGTAAATTTGATGAAGCTTCTCTTTTGAAGAAGATTGTCGACTCGATTAAGGATTGTGTTAAGTTGTGTAACTTCAATTGCACAGAACACGGAATCACAGTTCAAGCTGTGGATGATTCCAGAGTCTTATTAGTTTCGTTATTGGTTGGTCAATCAGCATTCAGTGAATACCGTTGTGACAGAGACATCACTTTAGGGATTGATTTAGAATCATTTTCAAAAATTATAAAATGTGGTAATAATGAAGACTACTTAACATTATTAGCAGAAGACAGCCCTGATAATGTAATGACTATATTCGAAGATAAGAAGAAGGAAAGAGTCAGTGAATATTCATTAAAGTTGATGGATATTGATTCAGAATTCTTGAAAATTGATGACATGGACTACGACAGTGTTATAAATATGCCATCTGGTGAGTTCTCTAAAATTGTGCGTGATTTAAAGAACTTAAGTGAATCTTTAAACATTATTGTTACCAAGGATTCTGTCAAGTTCAGCTCTGAAGGTGAAAATGGTACGGGTTCTGTTGTGTTGAAGCCATACACTGACATGGACCACCCAGAAGAAAGTATTAATGTCAACTTGGAAAACCCAGTTGACTTAACATTCGGTTTAAAGTACTTAAGTGACATTATCAAGGCTACCAGTTTAGCTGGAACCATTACGATCAAGCTAGCTGACAAGACTCCAGCTTTATTTGAATACAAATTAGATGCAGGTGGATACTTAAGATTCTACTTGGCTCCTAAGTTTGATGAAGATGATTAATTGATTAATAGATTAATATGACATAGTGTATATTATGATGCAGTACTAAATATTGGCTACTATAGGTAGCGTTGTAAGATCGCCGGGTCTCAATTTTGATCCTGATCTATTGTAAAACCCCACCAACTTTTCTATGTACACTTAAACATGCATGTGAGCAGACTCCAAGTTCCGAAACATATACAGCTCATCCCTGGTTACTAAATATGACTTTCGTACAATTTCACGCCGCCATCGCTTCAGAACCCTCAATGGGTGGTAAAAATGCTATTCTGGTGCCAGACTTGGAAGAAATCGGTAAGATCAATCGATACGCATCATGTGTGTTCAAATAGTATCTATAAAGTCTCTTTGACCTAACAAACCCAAGCGACTCATACAACCCTAATGCACCCTTATTGATTACCTCAGTCTCCAACATCACCTCGTCCACTGCATCCAATTGGACCATCCTATCCACCGTCAACTTTACCAAGTGCGTGGCGATTTTTCGTCCTCTGTAGGCTGGATCGATCACTAGCATCCCAATGTAGCCTCTCATTCTTACATCCCGATGTGGCTCCACTTTAGATATTATTACCCCCACTATATCTGGCGACTCGGCAGACTCTTTAACTATATAGCAATATTGCGGCCAAGTATTTAAGAAAAACCAGTATACATAAATCGAGTACGGTTCCAGCAAGTGCCCCGATATCAACGTTGAGATCTTACTGAACTCATCCTGTGAGTCAACATTAAATTGGAAATATGACAATCCTCCTATCTCCGTAATCAAGCTCATTTTATAAACCTCTTGCACCTATTCCAGTATCTTCAAGACTCTATTTACATCAAATGTGAAAAATTCAGCAATCGGTAATCGCTTCTTCCACCATTTTCGACCATATTACGAGGCTCTTTCCGTTCCCCCGTTACCCTCGGACTTCGCCACTAGCCACCAATATTGCTCCGGAAATCCTACTTGCTGTCCGAAAGTCGTGTTTCTCATGGGCTCGCTCACTCTCTCCAAAGCGTCCCGGTGCAATACGGATAAGACAAAGTGTGAAACTGGTTTTCGGCTGTAGACTACAACCTCAGGTTAATTGCTTCAAAACCTGGTCGTTATTGATTATAGTCTTCATCCGAAATAGTATCACCTGTTTACAAAATCGAAGCAAGTACATGTAGAACCATTACGTAGTATAAAGCGCGATGACATAATCTAATTTAATAATAAAGAGATATGGTTCACAGTCTCCCGGGATTTAGTAGTGAACTTCGGACTTTTTTCATACTACGTCGAACCACCCCCGAGGGTAGCGTGTTCTGGTTGATTTGCAAAAACTATATAAGGAGGAGAAAATCTCCATATAACCAATTGGATTTACAATATTAATTATTCATAAATTATACTAATTAAGCAACATGTCAGTTACAGACGTTTTATCAAGAAAGTCCGGTGTCCTTTACGGGGATGATGTCCGTCAATTATTCTTATACGCACAAAAGAAGGGATTTGCTATTCCAGCTATTAATGTCACTTCTTCTTCTACAGTCGTTGCTGCTTTAGAAGCTGCTAGAGATGCTAAGTCTCCAATCATCTTACAAACTTCTCAAGGTGGTGCTGCATACTTTGCTGGTAAGGGTGTTGACAACAAGAACCAAGAAGCTTCTATCCAAGGTTCTGTTGCTGCCGCTCACTACATCAGAGCTATTGCTCCAGCATACGGTATTCCAGTCGTTTTACACACTGATCACTGTGCTAAGAAGTTATTACCATGGTTCGATGGTATGTTAAAGGCTGATGAAGAATTCTTCAACAAGACCGGTGAACCATTGTTCTCCTCTCACATGTTGGATTTATCTGAAGAATCCGACGAAGAAAACATTGGTACTTGTGTCAAGTACTTCGAAAAGATGCACAAGATGGGTCAATTCTTAGAAATGGAAATTGGTATCACCGGTGGTGAAGAAGATGGTGTTAACAACGAAGACGTCCAAAAGGAATCTTTATACACCTTACCAGAAACCGTCTACAAGGTCTACGAAGCATTGAGCCCAATTGGTCCAAACTTCTCTATTGCAGCTGCTTTCGGTAACGTTCACGGTGTCTACAAGCCAGGTAACGTCCAATTGAAGCCATCTATCTTAGGTGACCATCAAAAATACGCCAAGGAAAAGTCCGGTTCTTCTACTGATACCCCATTATTCTTGGTTTTCCACGGTGGTTCTGGTTCTTCTCAAGCTGATTTCGATGAAGCCATTTCTCACGGTGTTGTTAAGGTTAACTTAGATACCGATTGTCAATACGCATACTTGACCGGTATCCGTGACTACGTCTTAAACAAGAAAGATTACCTTATGGCTCCAATTGGTAACCCAGATGGTGATGACAAGCCAAACAAGAAATACTTTGACCCAAGAGTCTGGGTTAGAGAAGGTGAAAAGACTATGTCTGCTAGAATCACTGAAGGTTTAGAGATTTTCCACACTAAGGGTCAAATCTAAATCTGAAATATAATTTTACTCTGTTAATAAATACTTGAATGTGTATGATACGAATTATTTATTTGTAATAATGCTTTCTGTAGTAAAAGACTGCCATATATATATACATGTGTGCATTTCACCGCTTCATTTGGTCAAATGATACCCCTCTATGCTCGTTGTTTGTGATATTTCAATCCTTTTATCATTTGATTGCCGACTTCTCTCACCTATTCTCCTTCTTAAACAATAGTTTCCAATACGTTGTATCCATCACTTTTGTTTTCGTTCTGCCTCAGCCAACATACGTCCGATTTTTTGATATTCAGGCATACTATAATTTGGATTAAACCCTTGTCTCTCTATATTAGACCCAATAAAGGCATTTGCTTTCACATATTTGGCAACACATCTATCAATACAACACTGCTCACCGGTATTTAATTCACTTTCACCGTATTCACCGGGAATACATTTATTCCGGCAAGTATCCAACACCTTGCCAAACGTAGTCGACATTGCTGTAAATTGAATTTCAGCAAGATGAATCTTTTCAGGATCAACCGAGACCTGAGAGTATTGTGAGCTACCTCCTATAAAAAATGACATCCTTCTTATATGTTATAGTTAATTTAATGTTTTAATAGTTTGTACTATATTAGCAGTTTTATTTTCCATTGAAAATTTATCTAAAAAAAATCTCCTCACAAAAATTAATACTCACCTTTTGTAGCTGGAAAACCTTATAGAATAATCAAATATGCATGTGTTGTTAACAAACGATGATGGCCCGTTGAATGATGTATCATGTCCTTATATCAAATATCTTGTGGATGAAATAAATGAAACTACAGACTGGGATTTATCTATAGTTGTTCCAAATCAACAAAGATCGTGGATCGGTAAAGCCCATTTTGCTGGGAAAACCTTATATACCACGTACATTTATACAAAGAATTCTACAAAGATTAAGAACGATAAGATAAATTCTTTTGAAGGTCCTTTTTACTCTGCCAATGAAAAATTACAAAAGGATCCTGAGTACCAAGAGTGGTGTCTAGTTGATAGTACTCCTGCTGCGTGTGCAGATTTAGGAATTCATCATTTATATGGTGAAAGAAAACCTATTGATTTAGTCTTAAGCGGACCTAACCTTGGTAAAAACTCAAGTAACTTGTACATATTGGCTAGTGGTACGGTTGGTGCGGCAATGGAGGCTGTAACGCATGGTATCAAGTCAATTGCATTATCGTATGCGTTCATCAACTCAGACCATGATTATGATATTTTGAAAGAAGCTGCGAAGATATCGGTCAAATTAATCAAGAAGTTGTATAAACAATTGCAAGAGCTGAAGGATATTGATTTATATTCAATTAATATTCCTTTAATTGAATCGTTAAAATTGGGGAAAACAAACATACATTACACTCCAATCCTTGAAAATTATTGGGCTTCCATTTACTCTAAGGCCTCGGAATTGAATGAATTGGGACAAGAACAATTCCATTGGAATCCTGATTTCAAAAAGGTCTATAAAGATGGTTTAACTGACTACAGACACACTGATAGTCGTGTGTTGTTAGATGAGGGTATTAGTGTGACTCCTTTGAAAGCATCTTTTCATATCGCTGAGCCCCGCTCAGGTGAAATAATATTGGATAATGACGATGAAGAATCTAGTCAACTCTTGACTAAATTATCACTTAATGAATCGTTAGTATTTTTAATAACCGTTGGAGATGATTCGTATATTTACGCCCCATTGGTCAAAGCATTCAAGAAGAGCTTTTCTAATGTTACTATAACTGAGGATGCATCAATTTTGTCTGAAATTAAGTCTAATCCAAATTTAAAAGTTTTCCACTATGGAGAGTATGAAGATTTAGATATAGATTTAATATCGGAGTATCCAAAGCAGTACTTCATTCCGTCTTATATCTACCGTAAAGCTTTGATTCGTAAGCACTTCTTGGCTAATACAATTCATCATTTCATTGCAAAAAACCCATCACTGGTTTTAGCCAACGCTACTCCAACTAGTTATCAATTAGAAGTTGATTATGCAGAATTTCTCGATGACGCGTTAGATGAATGCTACGAATTAAGGGATGAAATAGAAACAGACGAGAAAGTATGGATTTTGAAACCAAGTATGTCTGATAAGGGTCAAGGAATTAGGATTTTTAAGTCCATTGACCAATTACAAGAAATATTTAATTCTTTCGAACAAGATAGCGATGATGAACAGGAAGAAGATGATGATAAAAATGGTGTCATAATTTCTCAATTACGCCACTTCATTGTGCAAGAATACAAGAGAAATCCCTTATTGTTATCCACTTATTCCAATAAAAAGTTCCACTTGAGAACATATGTGGTCTGTTGTGGTAATCTTAAAGTCTACGTTTACAAAAATATTTTGACACTTTTCTCTGACATTCTGTACGAAGCACCAGAAGAGGACGAAAATGGGGAAATCCCAATGTCTGGACACTTAACTAACACCTGTTTGCAGGAAGATGCAACCCCTCTCGTTGTTCCATTCTGGGATCTTGATGATAAGAAATTCCCTACTGCGAAAAAGGAATTCGTATTTGATGAAGTTGCAAAAATCACAGGTGAACTATTCAATGCTGCAACAAGTGTCGATAAGATGAATTTCCAACCCTTAAATAATGCTGTCGAAGTATTTGGGATAGACTATTTGGTAAATGACGATTATTCAGTGACCTTGTTGGAAGTCAACTCTTATCCAGACTTTAAACAGACTGGTGATGAATTGAAAAATATCATATACGAATTGTTTGATAATCTTGTCACGGACGCCGTCAAGCCTTTAATTACGGGTGATGCCTCTGTCTCTTCAACATCATCATTGGTTCCTGTATTAGACCAAGTAAGTAGGTATTAAGTATTCCTAACGATAAGATTGCCATTATATATAGTCGTGTGCTTTGCCTATGAAAATTCTTATTTTGTGTCACTTAAATTTTCTATTCGACGACGATCGAAAGAAATTAATGAAGACCATACTCAAAACCACTAAACTACCAGTAAAGTAGCTAATTTTAATTTACATCAATCAATTAGATTAATTAGGAGCTAATTGTTATTGTATTTAAAAAATACATATCACATATTTCATAAAATAAAACAACATGTCTACACAACGAAAAGCATATAAGAATCATCTGAAAAGATTTAGTAATAATTCATCGTCATCATCTAATAATAATAGTTCTTCGACTGAATTAACTAGTTTGTTGGAAATGTTCCCAGACTGGGAAGCAGATGATTTATCAAGTTTATTGTCTGAACATAATAATATCTTAGAAGTCGTCATTGACTTAATTGTTAACAATAAAGTTGCCAAATGGGAACCAATCAAAAAGGAAGCTAAAAATAAGAAGAAAGAAAAGGAAAATGATGAGTTTGTTAATGTGCCTAATACTACTGTTACTGCAAATAACACAACACATAGTAGTTCTGCCGAGCATGGTCATAAATTAAATAAATATCACAAAGAGGCACATCCATCCAACAATAAGTCTAAATTCAGTTCAAAGGGACCTCATAGTAAGAAGCCACATCCAAAGTTTGCCGGCAAGGATGCATCTCCTAGCGCACCAACTGCAACTGCAAATGCAACTACATCTACATCTACATCTACATCTGGAGCTACATCTGCGCCATCGTCAAATTCATGGGCAGCAGCATTATCAAAGGATGGAGTAAAGGTAAATAACAAGTCACATAAGGAATCAAAGTCACAACCAGAAACTGAACTTGAACCTGAACCTGAACCTGAACCAGTGGCACAAGCTGGCGAAGAACCAGAAGTAATCATTGAACAGACAACAACAGTCATCGAATCTACAGAAACACCAACCGCCACTAGTAAATCAATCTTAAAAGAAGCTACAGTTCCACAACCTAAGCAAGGATCATGGGCATCAGCTATTACTCCAAAGCCAAAGTCAAAGCCACGCACTAAACAGGCTGTATCCCAAGAAGCCGCCGAATCCAAGGGTCAATTTGAACAAGCTCAAGAAGAGCCAGTCGAATCCATCGTTATTGAAGAAACCACCACCACTATTCCAGCTGAATCTGTTCCAGTTGAAGAAACCAAAGAGCAACCAGCCCAAGTGGTCTTACCAACCTCTTCTCAACAATTAGGCTCAGTTGGTGTATCTTTTGGTTCATTATCTTTAGGTGAAGACGAAAAGGAATCCCAACCAGAGCAATCAGCAGAAGAAGTTTCTGCTCCAGCAGCTGACCAATCTCAACAACAACAACGTTACGGCTTATACAATAACCAAGCCCAAAACCAAAACCGTTACAACCAACAAGTTTACCAACAGCAACAGCAACCTCAACAACCTCAACAACCTCAACAACAACCTCAACAACAACCTCAACAACAACCTCAACAACCTCAACAACAACAACAACAACCTCAACAACAACAGCAACAACCTCAGCAACAACAACCTCAGCAACAACA